GAAACGAGCTCCCTCTGCTCTGCCTGTCCTCTGCTCCTCTAGATTTGGTTGTCCTGCTAATGTCCCTGTGTCACAGTCTGATGTCACTTCTTTTTCTTCCTTCCCACTGCTCTCCACCCTCTCGGAAGATCTACAGAAACTGCCTGACATCCTGGTGCCAGGTCTTCTCTCAAATCAGGGTTTCTCTTCATTTCCACTGCTCAACCTTTGTTTTTTGTAGCACCTCTGCTCCCTCCTGGTTGCTCTGGCTCACCCCTTAGCTGCTCAGTCCCTGATAACGGAGCACCCACCATGACTTTTCCTCGCTGGTCGCTCTTGCCCTGCTACCTGCAAACCCATGCTTTGCCCCCAGGGTGACTCAGCCCCAGCCACCCAGTTTGTGGCTCAGACTGCAAACTTGAGGTGGGGTCTTGGGTGACCTTGCCCTTGACAGGAGGTTTTAAATGAAGTTATTTGGTGCTTGAGTCTCAGCTGAAGCCAGTCCTCCTCCAGAAGGACATGTGGGACCAGCCCCATGTAGCTCCTGTGCTGACCCCTTTCCAATGTGGAACCATTACAGCGCAATTGGGTGCTACTGAAGGAGTTTTATTTAAATGCAAGCGATTGCAGGATGAGTCCTTGCAAACTGCTTTGGACCTTTCACTACGAGTTGATAGCCTTCTAGCCCTGCTGTGACACGGATGTGGTCTTGACCTCTATCTATTTCTCCTTCCCCCCACAGGCAGGAATCACAACCACACTCAATTCCCGCTGCTCGGTGCTGGCAGCTGCCAACTCCGTCTTCGGGCGCTGGGACGAGACCAAGGGCGAGGAGAACATTGATTTTATGCCCACCATCCTGTCCCGATTTGACATGATCTTCATCGTCAAGGATGAGCACAACGAGGAGCGAGACATGGTGGGTCGGGGTGCATGGGTGCAGCTGGGACTCATGGTACCCTGTTTTTTAGGAGGGGGATGCGGGGAGGGGTTCCTGCTGCCTGATTGCCTTCTGCTCTCCTAGACACTGGCCAAGCATGTGATGTCCTTACACGTGAGCGCCTTGACACAGACCGAGGCCGTGGAGGGTGAGATCGAGCTGAACAAGCTGAAGAAGCTCATCTCCTTCTGTCGGACGTGAGTGAGGGGCATAACTTTTTGGCAGTGCCTGGGCTGCGTGGAGGGGGGCAGTGACGAGAAGCGAGCCATGCAACCGGTATTTGCAAGTGCTCTGTCTGGATGACCTTTTTTTAACTCCTGCCTTGAAAAAAGGGAAGCGAGAGCAGCTCGCAATGGTGCCGCAGCATGGCCCAAGGAAGAGAGGGGTGCCTGGGGATTCCCCCCTACCCAGGGGACCCTCCCCAGTGGTGTTACCTCC